GTTTTTAGGTATTTTCCTCTCGTCTCTTCCAGATACTTTTTTCCCCTCAAAGTGTTTGAGTATTGCTTTTCATAGATGTTCATGAGATTTTGTGCTTTCTCTTTGTCTCTAGGAGCTGTACCCAGCATTTTGCATCCATAACGGAGGCGCTGACCTGGACCGTCTCCCTACCGCTAGCACTTGCATGAACCTTCTCAAGCTACCAGAGTTTTGTGACTCTCAGCAAATGAGGAACAAGTTACTCTATGCTATTGAATCCTCTGCTGGGTTTGAGCTCAGCTGAGGAATACGTCAACCCCTTGATGGCCTTGAAACGCAGACATGAAGCTGCGACTTTTGTCATAGTGACCTGATATTAAATGATCAGAATGAACAGACAGTGTGTCTGCTGTGGATGTACAGTGATTTATAGGTGTTGGGACCTAAAAAAAAAACATGCAGAAGGACAGTTTGAAGTTGTGGCACGGACAATTATATGCTCAGTTTTATTTTTACTTCAAAAAGGAGTAACCTTGTAAATAATGCATTTATAATCTCAAAGCGGCATCAGGGAAAGGCGCCCATTGATCAAAAGCACTAACATTGAACAGGAACATCGGAATGGTGGAGATACGGAGGGAATAAAATGGCAGCGCAAAATTGTACGTTTAGTAGATTTCCCTTGGTTTTGCATTGCTTACGTTGAAGTGGATGTTTTAAGACGATTCCATTTTACGATTTTAACTGCTCTTTGTCCCCATAGTGCAGCACATATTGAGTGTCTACCAATAAAGATGCATGCTTTAGCCTCGCTGACTCAAGAACAAGCTAAAACATGTGCTAACAGCATGCCTGAAATTTCTTCAGCACAGTAGGGATACTAAAGGTTGTCCTTGGTTTAAGGTCACACTGCTTCAGCTATATAAATGTACATGCCTTGATACAAGGCGTGCTAATATTGTAGCTTTCGCTGAAAACTCTGAGCTATTAATTTTGCAGGCTAAATACTATTTGTTGGCTAATGTGCCACCAACAGAAGAATCGAATAAGAATCATGGCAGAATGTGTGTGGTTAACAGGGACGGTAGAACAGTAGCACAGGTGTGGGGTCATCTTGTTTGAATCATGTAGTAATTATGGCTTAAAATTGACTGATTCTTGGGAAAAAAAAAATCCGTTTTAAATTTCAACAATGTCGAGCTGCATTTCAGGCCTCAAGGTTTACTTTATGTTTCTATTGCATTTTACAAAAAAAATCACAGATGGTGTAATGTATTCCACATATTGGACCTTGTTTTTATAGCAATGGAGAGAGGGAAGCTGACAATGTGCAATAATTAAAAACAGAATCTTTGAGGACATGCAAGTTTTAGATTAGTGGATCTAGGGGAGTTTTTAAGGTCAGACAAATTGATGAATGAAGGAAAAGTGTGACATGCCTAAGTTCTGCTGTAGCAAAGGACAAAGAGGTGAAGAATGTGCTATCAGCATCCTCTGATTGCTTTTTTGCTGCTACTTACTGGGTTCAGGATGGCTGTATGGACATGTTGGTTGGTGGTGGAGAGATGATAGATATGCGAATATGTATTTGTCTACACCTTTTAATGTTCATGCAGAATTTGTTTAAGACTTTTAAATTCTTTCCTCACCTTGTCAGTAATAACCTGTTCCCAACATCTGTTAAAGTAAATGAGTAATATGACATGACAGCATACAGGTGCTGAATATCTGATGGTTTACAAACACTGATGTGTAGAGTTCGTCTCGATGTTCACGAGGAGCGAGGACAAGCAAATTTGTTTGTAATGATGTGTTTACCAACATTTATTAAGTGTATGTGCCCTGAATGATTTTTTTTTTTTGAATGACAAAGACAGGTGTTCAAATGTATCATAGAATGTGTGGTAATGATTAAATGTTTTTTGTTTTTGTTTTTTTTGCACCAGAGATATTAGCATCTTTTGTTAAAACATAATATTTAAGAAAAACTGGGACATAGAATTTCATTTTGAGTTTAATGGCCTTTGACATATAATTAAAGAAACATCCAGTGATGGAACAAGAAAGGAGGCTATAGTCGGGACCACGGATGCATTATCCGTAAAACATAAATTAATGGTGCGTTCGTTTGACATAAATCTAATAGGGCCCTGCAATGAGAGCAAGTAATGGCCGAAGAGCAGGGGGAACTTTTTTTTAATTCCACCCTTGGATCTCCATATATTCTCCCAGCCTGCCTCAGTCTCGCCCTCCTCACTGGAGTAAGTCTCTAGACTCCTCCCTCTCTGACCAAATTTCCAGCATTTTAGCAGAAATCTCAGCCGGGGGTAATTGGGTCTTAAAAAACTAACTTGTCTTATAGCTATGAAGAATTGGCCTTAATTGTGGGGAGATTTATTTGGGTCTATTACCTTATAATGGATTATAGCTGGCAAACTTAATGCCTCTGGCTATCAATCACATCCACGTGCAAAGATATACCAAAGGTATTTTATATAGCTTTTAGAAATGTTATCGCACTTAGGGTCAAGTCATTTCACACCGGAATGTGAAAGCTTAAAGATTTAATTTCAAAGAATTCATTAAGAACAATTAATGGGTTTAAAAAAAACAACTTTAAATGTAGTGTTTTTTTTTTTTTTTTTGGTTGCTTTTTTCCAGGAAAAGACTCTAATGTACTTTGTCATCCATCGTGTTAAAGAAACGATTAAAGTCGTACAAATTCGTGTTTTTAATGTGTAAAATAATTATAAATATATAAGAAAAACAATCTGACACAGACGATTTTCCTCAAATCTGGTTTGAAGTAAATTAACATTCATAATTATAGGCTAAATATAAAAAAATGTAACATGGATGTATTAAATATTACCATGATTTCCGTTTTACAGCTTGATCAAAAATGAAAATTCTGCCAACAACAGTAAATTGGAAAGAATTGACAGCATTGCTTTTTAATTCATAATCGCTTTTCAAGAATATTGTCATGCAAGATCTCTGTCCATAGGCTACTATATTTTCCGATTGTTATTCATATTACATTATTAATACAATTAATAATAACAATAACAAATACTTTGATTTAGAAATAGGCTATTTGATTTGATTTTTCATCGCTTTGTTGCTCTAATGGATCCTAAACAAGTAATACCGCATATAAAGATGAATGATCATTAGAAGACCAAGGGTGCCTCCCTGTGGAGGTTTTTAAAACTAACCAGTATCAGCTTTGATAGGTAGGCATCACGCAGCATTTCTAAATCATGACCTCTGTTATTACTCCATAAAACGTCTAATTCAATCATTGGCATTGGGAAAAGGCACATGGTATTATCTCACTGTGTAAAGTTTAACTTTAATAGTGCACTATGTAGGCGGCTAAGCTGGTTAAATGCGAACAGAATGATTGATCAGAGGAAAGGAATTTTCTCCCTCTGCTGGCCAATACTTAGACACACAGCGTATACAATAGAGCTTAAACATTATAGCAGAAACACTTACACGTTTTGCACACCACTAAATCCCGTCACACCCCATCATGAATGAAAACATTATACTCTCCAGTCTGTACCACACCACACACTTTACTCATACCAGTTTAAACTCTTTTCAAAAAATAAATAAAACATATCTCCCAGAGAACTAATCATAAGGGGAAAAGCAGCAGCCTTACAATAGGCATGTTTTAGTTTTCCACATTCTTCTGACTTTTTGCTGCTTTTGACCTCTGAATGATACAGCATAATGGTCTCTTAAAGGGATAGTCCACCAAAAGAAAATTATGTCATCTTTTACTTCCCTCATGTAGCCTGGATGCCAGCCGAATTTAGCCCCGCCCACAACATTTAGGATGGGAATCTGAGTATGACGACTTGGCTAACCCTCATGATGTCCAAACCTGTTTCTTTCTTCTGTTTAACATGAACCATTTTGAAGAATGTTCGTTATTCATTGTATAGACTAAAAATACAATAGAAGTCAATGGAAACCAAAACTATTTTGTTACCTATGTACTTCAAAATGTCATCTTTTGTTGTTCAGCAGAAAAAAAGAAAGTCAGAACAGACTTTCAGATTTTTTTAACTAGGCTATCCCTTTAACAGTTAAATCATGTGTAATCTCAACATGGGGTCTAACAGGGGATACAGACCAGAGCCATATTCTCCATCTCGAACGTGCTCCCTGCCAAGTTTACATTTCATTTACTAACAATGGTCATTTACAAAAAAAAAGGCCTTCCTCCACATGATTTCCATGGTATCAAATTCCAGAATCCTTCACAGGTAACAGAAGGGGAAAAGAAACATCTGAATCATGCATCTGTAAAATGTAATCCATTTGGTTGAAAAAAAAAAAAAAAAAAAAAAAACACATATGTGCCTATTTTTGTCAGTCAAAAAACCCTAAACATAAATGGTGTCTGAAGGGGTTATGTATGCTTAGTAGTCACTAATTTGCATGGTTATTAGCCTGCTAAAGCTCAACTGGATTTGTTCTAGAATCTAGATGAAACACTGGTGATTGTATAGGCGCTGCCAGTCACAGACCATGACCTCTCACCCTTCGCTCCACCTTTTAATGTGTGCAGCTTGCACTTTCACTTTCCACTCCAATTCTTCTGTCTGAGGATCATAACTTTTGGTTTATATTCCACTCTTTAGAAGCGTCTGTAGTTAAATGACTAAATAACTAACCTAAAACTATGTCATCTGCTTGATATTTATATATATATATATATATATATATATATATATATATATTAGTTTTAAAATTTGATTTATTTTTATGAGTATAAATATATTATATTATATTATATTAAATATTATAAATATTAGTTGTCCATCTATAGGCTAATGCATATTATCTTAAAAACCCGGCTCCGCAAATGTTTGAGATAGGAAGATGAATCATTTTCTCTAATGCAGTCTTTTGATTCCCCATATTACAACACCATTATTCTACCTGTCACATCACACTTACTTTTCTCCTTCAGCTGTTTGGGTAACAGGAAGTGACGAAATTGCACAAGAATCATGCCGCTTTATTAGAGGTCGGCGGATGGTTAGAGAACATAGTGGCAGCCCAATAACAGTGATAAAGGTTCATATTCGCCTGCTCCTTTCATATAGGGAAGTTACTCCGATCACCTGAGATATTTATATATATATTTTTAAACGGACAGACCTCGGACCAAACAGACTAGGCTAATTACTATTTCAAATAAAGAAACTCGACCTCATCATTGGAATACACTGATCGAAGGTCCAAATAAAGGACCGGGATAAGGACACATAAGGTTTGTGAGTATAACCTTGAGATATATTGATGTTTTTTTCGGTTTGCTATGAAAACGAGATGAAAAACATACGGTGCGTGTGTCAAAACCTAGTTTTGCGCCTTTGATGCCCAGACACGGTCATGTCTTTTCGGGGATCACTCGAGCGCCTTTTCATTTACAAAAACAACAGCAAAAGCAGCAGAGTTTTCAATGAAAATGGTAGGCATAAATAAATAAGTGTTTAATGCTAATAATTTTACAAAAGACAAACGTTTCTACTTACTGGAGCCGCATAATTTGTCTTGACATCTAAAAGTTTTGATTAGATTTCCGATATAATTTTAAACGATTTTAACGTTTCACCACATAAAATAACCTATCTGACATTTAGCTGCATACAACACGCTCAGACCATTCTGTTGTTATTGTTAGTCAACTTATAAGTGCGAAATAGAAGCAGTAGCCTTAAAAACTAGACTACACTTAAACCATTAACCATATTCAACACTATAATGTACGATAAGTCACCGTCACTTGGTAAAATGTTCTTTGACTTTCCAGTACATTACATGTCTTCTCACACAAGTTACCTGAGACGTGCTTGAGATTATTCTCACGATTAGTTTTGATGGTGTTCAAAGAGTTAAACTCTTGGACACCTGCTCTTCAAGTAGCCTTTTATTCTTGTAGAACAACATTAGGACATGGGGAAATCTAGAAAAGGAGATTGCTCATGTTTGGCAGAGTCATCGTTTTTTTTTTTTTTTTTTTTTTTTTTTTATGTAAAGTATCAGCGTTTCTTTTTCCAGGTTTACATCTGCTATATGGATGTGGAAGTGATAGCATCCTTATTACATTGAAAGAATTAACTGCATGTTGATGATGGTAATTAAATGGATTGTTGATTATTTTGTGAGGTGTAGTTTAAGTTTTGTTCTGCTATTTCAAACTGACATTTTCATATTTATTCATCATATGGTTAATATTTCTTTCGTCTAATTTTATTTGAGATCAGAGTTGACAGCATAAATGTCTTGCATTTCAGTAGAATGGAGAGTAGTCCAAGTGGCTTGACTTCCCTTTCATTTGGAAGGTAATTGCATCACTTTAAGTAGTTCAAATCTTTTCATCAGGGATGAAATGCATAACGTTATAGCATAACAAGCCAGTTTCACAAAGTTTTGAAATGGCATAATCTGACAGCCTTCATCTTAAAGTGGACCGACCAAATTGCCCTTTAATTCTCTGTGTTTTGTCAATGTATCCCCAGTGTTGAGATTAATGCTATTAAACATATTTATTGGTGTAGTTTTTGACTTTGAGGATGTACCAGTCTTCATTCCACTTTGTCTATCTATAAGCTGTAACTCTATATGCACATTGATTTAAATGCAAGAACAGCCTCAGTTGTTTTTAAACTTTTTGTGTAAGGCTTCCAGTCATCCACTCCCAGTTATTTTAGTTGTAAAAAATAGTCTGACGGACATGTTTATTATATTATGCCATAATTATTTCCATAAACACATTGGTTTAGTCCATAATGCAGTTGGTGTATTACAGATTTTAATGTTCTGCCAGAATGATCAAATGTAAGATTTTACAAGAAGTTCATATAGCTTCAGCCTTATACTGGCCCTCTTTTGGACAAACAAGTTACTCTAGAAGGTTTCATTGATGCATAAAGTTACTGCAAATAAGTTTATCTTTGTAATGTACTTTAGATAAACATAAAAGAACGTTGCTGTACCTGTTCAAAGATAAAAAGAGAAACTTAATTTAGTTGTCTTTTATAATTGTAACAGGCAGAAACTTGATTCAGTTGGCCATAAACCTCAAACACTGGAAGTATCAAGCTGTCCTCTGGTTCAGTCTGTCAAACGCTCTTGCCAAATAATGACTTCCATTGCCCTAGATAGCGATGGCTCATGTTACTCGCATTGACATGTCAAATACTCTCTCTTTCCTGAATTCACAAAGAAAGAAAAAGAAGAGAAAACAAATGGCTAAATGGACAAATTGTCTTGTAATTATTATAGCAACATCTGGTCAACATCAGCTATTCGGTTTGTCGAATTGATCCTTCATCGACACATCCCCAAACTATCATACTGACTTATTTTAGGACTGTTCATGTTGCGTAACTCTTTGCCTTTCACATGTAGAGGTCTAATTTAGCCTTTTAAATGACTAAACCAGTAACCTAAACTAAAACTAACTGAGCTGTGGTAATTTGGTGCAAGTTTGGCTAGAGTTATTGCCGTCAAGTGATCTGCTTTGAGCTGAGCTGACAGCCTCCTCTTAGTGCCACTATGAGAAGCCAGAAAACAACCTCCAGAGAATTCAGCAGCCATTTCACATCTGTTCACACATTTGTGAGCTTGCCCTGACTGCTGTTTCATGACAAGTAGCAAAGGAATGTGCAACAGATTTTGGAGGAAAATATGGCAAGATGAGGGTGACGAAGAGTGGACTGCTGCTTAAAAGTATATGTCCATGAAAAGGCTGTCTCAAAAAGGTGTGAAAGATTGACACTAGCATGAGTCAGGAATGTTGGCTGTTGTGCAGTAGGTGTGGTTTGAAAGAAATGCACTTAAAGATCCAAATGTGGGTGAAGAGAGGACTTGAAATAGTGGGTGTGTGTATTGTGAGTATTAAGAGTATTTGCATGCTGAAAGTGGATCATCAGTCAAAGTTCAAATCTTTCACCCCTGTGTTGTAGTAATTAAGTAAAAAAAAAATCTTATTTTGATTGTGCTTTAATACGGTTTGTCATATTTAAATCCATTCCACAGAATTCCTCGGATTATGCCTTATCACTACTACAAAAAAAACTAAAGTATTTTGTGAATTATTTAAAAAAAAAAAAGTTTTTTAAACTTATATTGTAATGGTTGTGGGCTTGTGGCCATTAATGTTCAGTATTAATTAGCTTTTGTTTGTCGACCATTTTTATGAAGTACAATACACAAGTAGATTTTACTGACTTACTGTAGCATTGCCAAACCGAAAATTGAAATTTGAGGATGCTGGGATGGCCTGCAGGTATGATATAGTCTTTCTCTATATTGTTCTAAGGTTTAAATGTTGCTAAATCAAAACATGCTGTGTGTTTCTGTGGCTGCATCAACCTGGGTAACCCTTATTTAGCCATTTTTAGCTGTACCAATTTTGAACTAATTGAATTTAATTTCCCTATTTACAAAAACTTGGACATATTAATCAATATTAAAGTGATAGTTTACCCAAAAATGAATATTTCTTTCATTAAATACTCGCTCTAGACTCGTAAGACTTTTGTTCAAGAATACGAATAAAGATGTTTTTGATAGAAATCTGAGAGCTTTCTGTCCCTCCATTGACGGCTACACAACTGATGCTTCAAAAAGTTAACTAATCCAAATTGTGTGCTTTAGTCCAAATTTTCTGAAGAGACTTGATCGCTTTATATGATGAATAGATTTAATTTACTTTTATATAAATATTGAAAACAAACATAAACAGAAGCTCAACTTGCTTAGTGTGTGAGAACAAACCTCAGTTTTTGAGGAAGCTCAAACGTCCTGCGAAACACGAGAATGAACCTCATTGGGTTTCACACATATTTTTGCCCCAGTTTGCAGGTAGGGACTAGCCTGGCTAACGTTAAGATTGAGACGTGGTCTGGGAGTCACATGTTCATTTTTTCGTATGTGAGGCGTGGTTTACGAATGCCCAGAGCCGTTTATTGGGTGCTACAAATGTCTATCAAATGCGCCTGTACGTAGCTCATATAGCCAAACGTTTCAATTAAGTGGGTAATCCATCAGCCGGAAGTTGAAGTCTCATGGGAGCCGCCATTGTAGCCATTGAGCCTGCTGTTAGCATTCCATTGACTCCCATTCATTTTGGCGTCACTTTCACAGCGAATAACTTTACATCCGAGGCGTCCAAAGACTCGATTTGTCCATTATTTATTTCTAAAGAAACACAACAATGTGTAAAAGGCCCAATTACCTTGTATCTTATGTTATGGCCCCATAGAAGCAGTTTTTGTAAAAATTAAACCTATTGTAAAAAAACTAAAACAACTATTGCGTTATAATGCTTTCCGTCGCACAGTAGAGAAATTACGGTATAGACAGAAGGAGAAGCTTGCACACAAGCGGGGGGATGTGGAGGCATAAAGTCGAGGGAGAAGCCCATAGAGAATCATAAAGTTGATCCAGCTGCTAGCTCATGGACAACTAGTACTCTCTCCATTTCTGTGAGATTTGGAAGGGAATTATTCCGATTTCACTCGGCACAGCTACTAGAAGACATAGAGGTTGCTCACAAGACAGCTGCAGTATGGCTGGCTATCATCTTTTAATGGGCTTCAACTTTCTCAGTTGAAATCAATAGGGTCCCTGTGTCCATTTCTTTTACTTTCTATGGTTTCAATTATACCAGATGACGTATGTAGAGCGACAGAAATTAGACGAGGGAGAAGACGATGGGTCAGAGATTTGTGTACACGATGGCGTATGTATCTAAGGCTGCATCGAAAGGTAACTTTGCGTCTGTTGCCATGTTTGATCCTTGGGTATATACAAACTGCTTTGGTTTTCGCATAGACGTCGTCATCGTCTTGCTGCTCCCTCCTCGTTCTGTGATTGGTTCCCTCGCCGAGGTGAAAATCTGGTCCATGGTATCCAGACTGCCTGGCAGCATGAACAAAATTGTGCAGTGCAAAGGCAGTATGGGAAACTCAGGCTAGTTTTGAGGAGTCTATGCTAGTAAAAATCAGAACCAGTCTGCAGATTTTGTCCAGTCTTGAGTTGACATTTCACAGAAAATTGTTTAGTGTATGGTTTGGCACTGACAAGGGCCGTAGCTAAATTCTGAGCCCCCTGAAAAAACATTGTGGGCCCCCACTGCCCTAATAAACTTTTTTTCCCATAACAGTTGTGGTAAACATTCAGAAAATAAAAAGAATAGTGTCAAATGCAAAATAAAACAATTTAATTTTCTCATGTATTCATTTCTGATGAAGACTGCATAATATTTTAATAAATAAATAAGGGGGCATCCATCAGGGGCAGTATTGTTATCCTAAACCATATCACGCATATCAGTTTTTCTGCGTCGTGTTCAAATCCAACAAACTACATAATAGCAAAAGACAGGGATTTTGAGTTCAGACTCAAAATATACTGTATCGGCATCTCTTATTAATACTTCTTCTTATTATTATTATTTTGTGTCCTTTTCCTGCAAAAAATATAAAATAATAATCAGTGCATGCATGGCATCCCATCACGCTAACCTGTCTCGTTAAAGAACGTTTTTATATACTGATCTCCTGGCGTAGGCCTACCTCTCTTTCTCATGATGTTACTGCCCAGCTAACTTTTGATTTCTAGAACGTTCTAACGTTCTTTTTTTTTTTTTTGATTGGCCAGGATGGTTTTCTTGATGGAAATCAAACTTTAGTTTGTGGTTTGTAGAACTTTCCCAGAACATTCCATTCTATAATCTATTCTATGCTATCCCATTGTAAAAGCTGTATGGAAGATGGATGTGTGGATGCCTGTATTATAGAAACCATATCTTGTTGTTTTTATTGTCTAGAATAATTAATAAAAATAACCCGACCACATCAACCGTCATATGGAAGGTTACATTTGCAGAATATCATAATTCACAGGTTACCCAGATGGAGCTTTTACATTTCTTCAGCACCAAATAACAGTGACTTCAACGTAATCTATGGTTTTTAAAATGTGTGAGTCTGTGTTTGGGACGACTTTACAGTCTGTTAGTGCGTGATCCTCATTCGTTTGTAAATGGTCAGAAAAACTGACCATCATATACCAAAGTCAGCAATTGTATGATGCCGAGGGTTTTAAAATCGGTTCAGTTGTTAAAAGTCGTGTAGCGTATTCCAGCCTTTACTCACACAACGCAGAGGAAAGCCAGTTCTGTGCCATGATCACCTCTGGGCCTGTTCTGAAGGACACTGCAGATATAAATAACCAATGAGATCCAGCTGGAAAGATATTGGAACTGGGTATTAGGCCCCTGTTTGTTTGAAAGCAGTTGACATTTTGTTCTTAGTTTAGATTTGAGATGACTCAAAGGGGTTTAAAAATGGCTTGAGTTAAATATTATATACAGTAAATGCCATAAGAATATCTGTAAACTGCTTTTTGAAAATGATTTTTTTATATAATATATTGTATTTACTAGGTTCATATCTTATTAGGGTTAAACCAAGCTGGAGTATGGCCATGTAGATTAGAAGATAATAGTCTGAAATATTACACATGAGCCAAGAGGGAATAACAAATAGTCATGAATCAGTCGGTTCCTTAAATGCTTTTTATGTAAGAGGTGTAATGTAGAACCATGCTTTCACATGACATGTTGGTTTGTTTGAGGTTGTCCCTCACAGTAGCCACACACCCACATAGCTACCAAAACACACCCTCTGTTTGTTGGATGTCTTCAACTAGATTTTTCTTTCTCTTTCCAGGGCCACTGCTGAAAATTTGTCATCCAGTAGAGTGAAAAAAACAAACAAACAAAAACCTGAGCCTGAGCCATGGGGGATTATTACGAGGTCCTGGGTGTGACGAGAAATGCATCCCATGACGATATAAAGAAAGCGTAAGTACTCTGTGTCCTGTCATGGCCATCTATTTTTGTACGCGTAGTGCAGTAATGATAATAGTGACTGTGCAACAGACGGTTAGTTGATACCATCCATGTGAGACCTCTTTGCTGATTGCGTTATTAATGTGTTTGTCTCAATCCATTTCTTCTAATCTTTTCTGTAAATAAAATCAGCACTTTGTGACAATAACACTGATACAGTTTGTCAATAGAAAAAGTCAGACTCAGACACAGACATGACCCGCAAAAGAAGAGCGAGTTTGTGCTCTCTGTGACACTGGCGAGGTTGAGACCGACACTGTGGTTTATATAAAGAGGGGAGAGAGAAATACTTTGGAAAAACTCTCTAACCTCATGCCAGTTTATAGTTCTTCAGAAACTGATGTTATATTGAGGGAAGACGGCTTTAATTTTGTAAATTTGAATGTCTTGATAAATGTGTTAATACAAATATATTATTTAAAATAATATGGATATAATAATAATGATAATAACTATTATTGTTATTAGTTATTGTATATTTCTTTCTCTTATCATTTCTTGTTTTGTGCATAATGCTTTGTCTGTATTGCTTGTCTAAAGATTCATGCCAGTAAAGTACTTTAAAATAAAAAAAATGGACACACAAATGGCATCGATTTAATCCTGATTCTGTAGGTCACTATAGAAATTCCCCTTATAACCATCAGCAAATTCAAAGCACCGAGCTACAGAGGGCAAACACTATTAAAAGATATGCAAAGGACAAATCCCCTGGTGTATGGAGTGTTTGGTTTAGGCCATTGACCCTGCTGTGTCCTGCTGCCCGAGTGTGTATCGCTGACTCAGGCTCAGTGTGCAGAGATGCTGACCTGTTGTCACACCTACTGAAGTTGTATTGTGCAACACGACCTGTATTGAAAGTGGTCAACTGGTGCGTGACTTTGTAATGCAGTGATGTGCCAGCGTTATAAATGAGGACAGTGCAGTATACAATCGACAATTTGTTTCCTTGAACTTATGTATAAATATTATGTCTTATAAGCATTATTTTAAACCCATAACAAATGTGTGTCTTTTGAAGACCTTGCATGTGTGTGTAAAAGTGATCATTGTGTGGCATCAATTAATCATTGTTAGTTAAAGTCTGGTTAAAGGTATAGCGGAGGATCTTTCCGAATTTTAGAGAAGACCCGCCCTCTCCAATTAAAAAAAAAATAAAAAAAAAATGCACATGCACAAACACAACACTCCCGAGAGGGAACGCCTACTATTACGCCTTGCACAATTATGTTGCAAATTGTAAACTAACTCAAAAATATTCATAAAAAAGACAACATGTCAAATGCCCTTCCGTGTTTTATTTACTTATTATACTGATCGATTGAGTGACCGAGGACTCAAGACATGATATGTCCAACCCTGTATCACACAAAATACGATCTGAGGAAACTATTTTGCAAATCGCAATTACGTTACATAGCAACATATAAGCAGTGCTATTACGTTGGTCCTTAACCTAATATGTTTATTGTTAATATGTAATAAGTTATTTTTATACATAGTTGCGTATGGAGAAGTAGCTTGTTGCATTTGTGTAATAATAAACACACAAGGTTTTAGAATATTTCAGCGTGATACCATTTACCATTTTGTTCAAAAGGCTACTTTAGACAAATTGAGATGTTTACCGTGTCTATGCGGTGCATGACTTGTGCCAGGGCTAGCAATGCTAAGTAGCTTGCATTAACTTTTACTAGTGATTTTAAATGGATTTCTCCAAATAGCGTGACAAACTTTACCTGTGTAGTAGAATCTTCGCGACTGCGGCATCAGTGAGAAGCCCAACCTGTGCTTTTAGCGCACGCCAGCGTGTGATATTCACCAGAAATAACTCTGGTCTTGTTTCTATATTCTGTGGCCTTTCTCTTCTTATCATTCACTTCGGATAAATTTTTTTTTCTCTTTCGACCCTCAGCCATTTTCAAAGGAATGGCTGAAACCGCAACTCCGACATAATACACCTGAAAGTGAAAACTACATAGGGACGAGCACGTACGACGGCCTTACGTAAACATATCACCAGAATGATTGACACTTAGATCGACCAATAGTATAGACTACCCACCCGGAAAAAGAAAATCCTCCGCTATACCTTTAAGCATCAAGAATTTTGGTGAAAATTCTTTCACCAAAGAATTTTCACTAGTGTATTTAAATGGTGAAATCTTCACTAGTGCATTTAAATGGTCCGTTCATAGTTCATAAAAGTTTCATGCATAATAATAATAAATTAATTTTTAATTTTGGATAAACTAAGAATAAAGCACTGTCTTTGGTATTTCCATTGTTCACTCTTAACAAGACTTGTTTTAATGAGTGTGTGTGTTTTACAGGTACAGAAAGCAAGCACTAAAGTGGCATCCAGACAAAAACCCAGAAATAAAAGAAGAGGCAGAGATCAAGTTTAAAGAGATCTCAGAAGCATATGAAGTCCTGTCAGATGGTATGGCTATTTATGTTTGGCTACACTTTCTTTTAAGGTGTCAATGTTAGTGTAATAATAATTTACTACATGTACTTACTCTAGGGTTGGGCTAGGGTTTGGTTTGCATGTAATTATGCATAATTGATTGTTATTACTAGTAACCACATGTTACGTGCAACAAGGACACCGTAAAGTAAGGTGTTTCCATTTTTTTTTTTTTTTTAAATATGATGCCCTGTTCATTTTTGAGAATGAATGTTTTAATTTATTAACATAAATTGATGACTTGAGACATTAATGAATTGTTGTAGAATGAATGCCCATTAGACAGTCCCTTTATGCTGATGAAAACGGCTTAAACAGCTATATCCAGAATGTCTAAAGACAGTCAGTAGTTGAGATGTTTGATTCATGAATGTTTTAAACATGTTGTATGGCACACGTCCTCAGAATAGGAAGGAGTTTGGAGCAAAACCGGAGAGTCTCAGTGTCCTGTATCCAATCTTGACTGTACAAGCCAACATTTCTGAGCTGTTTGAAAATGGCCAGTTTCATTTGTCCTTCCTTGAGTGGTTGTCCTTGCACATCTGCTTCTGACCTTTTTTTATTGAATATTGTTAGTTGTGTCCTATATAGCTGAATGCATGGTATGGATTGTCACACGAGTATTAGAATCACCTAAAATAGGTTTCAGTAAGCTTGCAAATGGCAACAGTGTGCCTTTTCTGAGGTAAAGGTAATATTTGGTGTGTGTGTGTTTTCATGGGTGTGTGAAGGCTGCATAATATGTTGCATTATTTATAGACTCAAGTTTCTTGTGAGGAGATTGCGTTTGTTGTCCATTAAGGTATAAATGTTTGCCTAAGCATAGATCATTGCTTGTAGTAACAGTCAATTTGCATTCTGTTATAAACCATAGGTTTGGCACAAAACGGCTCCCTTTACTGGCTCTGATGTTGTGAAGGTGTGGTGGGAGGAGTGTGTAATTATTATGAACCCTATTAATCAGCGTCTGTTTTGTGTGAAACTAAAAGTAGCTTTTTTCTTTCATACAGATAGCAAAAGGAGACAGTATGATAGATATGGTAAAGAAGGCATGTCTAATAGAGGTAAGTGAGGTTATTCCTGATTTTAAATGTTGTTCACATTTTGACCTGTTTTTGGAAATGTGGTTTTCCTGTAATTATTTCTTGTTGGGAAAGGTGGCCATTATGACGAGGATTTCATGGGCGGATTTACATTCCGCAATCCAGAGGATGTCTTCAGTGAATTCTTTGGAGGCCGAGATCCATTTGCAGATTTTTTTGGTATGTGCATGTTTAATAATTTCTATTGATTTAATGAATCAAAAAATAAAGCTGGAATAGAAAAGAGTTCATAAAATAATTTGGTAACAATTTCTGTGAAGTCCATGCTTATAATTAATTATAGCCCCATTTTATACTTTTTTTTTTATTTATGTATATAATTTAGTATTTCTATTATATAAATATATCTAGGCTCATTAAGACTAATACTGCATTATAAGAACAGTTAGTTACATTTACAAGTCAAGTTTTTCAATGTGCATGCTCATAATCCAATATACACTGATTTAGAAGTGTTAATTAGCTAGTTGTATAGCCATGAATGTATTTATAAAAATGCAACCTGCATTGCTAATGTTATTATATTGTAGTTATAATTACTTTTTCTGTCTTTTTTTCTGTTTTTTTTTCTGTCAAAAAAACCACTGCTATAATTTGGACACTGCGTGCAACCTCTGACATACAGTATAGCAATTGTAAGTCGCTTTGGATAAAAGCGTCAGCTAAATGTAAATGTAATTTTTTCTTTAAAGTATAATTTCAAACTGCTATAAGCAATACCATTCATATGGCTGAGGAGATATAGATTTTAACTAATCAAAATTACCATTCATGGAACCATATGACTGGCTAATTAATAATTCTAAATCAGTGTTTAATGGATTATGAGCATGTGCATTGAAAAAGCAAATACATGACTTACAAGTAATTATAAAAACAATATAAATGTAAATATAGGCTAACTGTTCTTATAATGCAGTGTATGAGTCTTTATAAAAAATATTTATAGAATAGTAATAATTATAATGAATTATAACCCCATCTATACTTCTTTATAAGCATGAACCTCATAGAAAGTGTTACCAATAATTTGTCTCTCTTTCAGTTTTCAATGGCAAAAACACATTTAACCTGCATATTTCCAGAATAAAGAGGTTATTGTCTTTGAAAAATGAGAACAAAATTCCCAAAGAGAGGAAATGAAGGTCATTTAATCTCACAGTGTCTCTGAAAGTAATAACGTGGTTTGGGTTATAATTAGGTAATTAGATTTTGCATGAACTTATCGGAGCTTTGGTTCATTAGTCGATTTGCTTTCTGTTAATCTACCATAATTATATTGCTCACTAAATGTATTCACACAAATTTGCTCTTAACATGGGTGTATTATGGGAACAATTTTTATTCACTTTTGACTCTTCTTTTGTTGTCTATACAACAGTTAATCACAGACTGTCAAGCTTAGAAAAGGACATAAAAGCACCATGAAAGCATGACTTGTGTGTTACATTCCAAGTCTTCTGAGGATTATCTAAGAATAATGGCATAATACATGATATCCGAAATATCTTTTTAGAGCTTGAGAGTCCGTAGTCACTATGATTTGATATGTTGTTGAATAACTTCTTAAAAAACATAAATGCTGATATAGGTATTGATGAACTAGTAAAAAATAGTGTTGTGGGCTGATCATAGGTAACACACTTCAAGTTCAGTTATCCATTAAAAACTGAAGTGCTACCCCATGCCCACTGACTCTACTGCTGGGAACAAAAGCTCAACGCAGGGCTCGACATTAAGCCTTTTCGTGCTTGTCCTTTGGACAAGTAAATCTGTCATTCAGAGTAAAATAGTTGCTTTTCCAGATTTTTTTGTGTGTTGTAAATTCTAAATCAATATTTTCAGTGTTCTCGGTGTTCAATCAGCTTTGGTATATTTTATTGTAATATCTGCACCTTTAACCCCCCCCCATATCATTACATTTATGCTTCATCTTTAAATTTAGACTCATTAAAGGGGTAATGAACTGAGAAATCAAATTTTCCTTGAGCTTTTGACATCTAAGAGGTCACCATATTATAAGAATATCCTGTAAGTTTCAGAACTGAAAACGTCCTTGTTAGTCCAATAAAAGCTTTTATTGACACCAGCCCCAGCAAACGACTTGTTTTTCAAAGTGGGGAAGTATGATGTCAAAGAGGATAAAAAACCACCCCCGCAGAAGAAGATCACCGCCTACTTCAACACGGCCGGTTTATCCCCGCCCACCGACTCACACATTACACGCATAGCTAAATAACATAGATGCCTACCTTGTGATGACAAACCGGATTGAGCTACCAAGCGATACAGAATATTGTGCAGTGCCTGGTTGTGGAAGAAGACAGTGGCTGCATAAGCTTCCTCTGGATTCATACAGGACTGCATGGATAAACTTTATTTTTCATGACGTTCCAGCTGATGAGGTAAACCATCGTCGTCTGTTCGCTTCATTTCACTGAGGATTGTTTTGTAAACAAGACTGGATTTGCAGACCGGTTCAGAATAAAGAACGGTGCTGTGCCGTCTATATTGGATCTGACAGTAATTGTGCAACACACGGACTCTGGGTCGAATGGGCAAATCATTCCGGTAGGTTGCCATTTTTCAACATTGGACGTTTTCAAAACAATTTCCCCCATGTGCAGCGACTTGGCTCATTATAATATGCAAAACTGTTATCCACTCACAGCAGTGGGCGTTTACTTCCAAGTCTTCAGTGCGAGACGCCCATAAAAACCGAGCGTTTTTCAGGTAGGCAAAAAACTAGGGTACAAAATAGCCTATTACTTATTCATTTTGATGTTTTTGAATGCAAAAACCAAGTGGATGTCATACCTTGACCTCAGACAACAATGCACTGTAATAAAATTTAAAAAGCCAGTTCATGACCAATTTAAGACAAATACTGCATTATAAGAACAGTTTAGTTTCATTTACAAGTCATGCGAGTTTTTTTCAGTGTGCATGCTCATAATCCAATATACACTGATTTAAAGTATTAATTAGCCAGTATTAGATTATGAGCATGTGCATCGAAAAAGCAAATGCATGACTTAGAAGTACTTATAAAAATAATAGAAATGTAGGGCTGCTCTCTTTTGTTTCCATTTCACCTCAAGAGTCTGCGTGAGCCAATACATTTGTAATCCACTATCGATCACAATTTACAATAAATGTAATAAAATCAGAATAATTCTTTTGTTTTAGTGATTTTTCCTAGTTTCCTATTTTCTTATAAACATTCTAATCAGGCTACTTGTTCGGCCGGCCAAGTCAAATTTTCACATTCTAAATTCTTTCCCTTCAAAAAATCCAGTTGTCCCGGACAAGCGTTAATGTCGAGCCCTGCTCAACGGCATATGTGTAAAACATACAGGCACTCTAAATAAGGCGAGGGTGCTCAGACGAGTGGGACGAGAAGAGACCGTGCATCATCCACTAGGAATGTTCGCAGAAATAGCTTCTGAATAAAAGAGCAGCAAGAGCAAGGGAATGCTTATAGCTCTAGGCAGTTAGAGAGTGGGAACAAGTTGTTCAACAACATTAATGTGTTTGCATGTGTGTTCATCTGTGAGTAAAATGTCAAACTATTTAGGATTATTTCTATACAGCAGTCAAATAGATGCGAGTATACATGTGATTGTTTCAGGAACACCATCCTTGATGATAGAAGGTCAATGGTGTTTACTTGTGTTTATGTAGCCATGACAAAGTTGGGGGTGGGTTAGAATAACTGTGTGTGCTGTGCATGTGTTGGAGAAGATATCAGGCATGGTTCTCCCTGCCAAATCAAACTGCTTGAAGGAGCTGGGTAAAGTTCATGTGAAGGCGCTGAGTGCCTGAAACATTGATTTGGGCATGTTTCAGCTGGCATACTATATCTCTACATTGCAACAGTGGTCCCAACATTATGAGAAAGAATACAAATAGACCCTTGTAGACACCAGCAACCTATTCCGATGAACAGGTCAGAAAAAATTAAATGTGCAATTTATTCAAAGCTGGAAACCGAAAATGTGTGGTTTCGAGCTCTGCATGAAAGGATCATGAGACCTCACTGATGTGCCCTTGAGCAATGTACTTAGCACTTCAGTATTTAACGGATAACTGCAGGTTGCTTCAGGGAGATTCTCCCTGTTTTATAATTCACCTGGGATAGAATCATTTTCATTTTCATATCTTACATTTACAGTCATGACAGTATTTATTTATTTATTTATTTTGTAATTTTTTTTAGCTGATGACCCCTTTGAAGATTTCTTTGGTGGTGGGCGACGTCATAGGGGTGTGAGCAGGAGCAGGACGACAGGTTCATTCTTTCCTGGGTTTTCTCCATTTGGTCCTGCCTTTTCTGGGTTTAACACTGGTATGTTAATCTGTGTGTTGCCAGTGAAAATTCAAAAGTACTTCTGGGTAATATTGCCATAGTTTTTGTGTATTTGAACATCACAATCATCATCCTCTTTTCTGTAGGATTCACCCCGTTCGGCCCAATGTGTGGGGGTGGGGGTGGTTTCACCTCATTTTCCTCCTCTTCTTTTGGTGGTGGAGGTGGAATGGGAAATTTCCGCTCTGTCTCAACATCCACCAAATTCATCAATGGAAGGAGGATCACCACCAAACGGTACCAAAAAACATTCTGTAATGGCCTCTTATAGTGACTCACAACTTCAAGCATGTTACGCAGTACACTTTTGCATAAAGTTATTCAGTCACTACATATCTATGCAAACTGTTCATAAATCGTTGCTTATTTGACTAAGCCTTTAACTGTGAGATTATAATTACCATATCTAGTGGTAATGTAATCTCACTGTACAGCTAACTTTTGTGTCATTACAGTATTGTTGAGAACGGTCAAGAGAGAGTGGAGGTAGAGGAGGACGGTCAGCTCAAATCTCTCACAGTCAATGGTAAGGAGTAGCTTCTACGACGGGACAACAAGTGATCTCTGAACTCTGCAGATGAACATTCAAAAAGTTTAAACCCAAACATTCCTAAAGATAAGCAACACTCACGACCAGGGTGATGGCTACTGACTCTGCTCTCCACTAGTCAGCAAACCAAGAGTAGGTCACATATAACGCATCCAAGCAATGTGATGCTGTTACCCTCCCTGCAGTGAATTGCAGACAAACAGGGTTAAACACTCATTCCAACTTAAGCATTCTTGTCTTTTTTCTTGGGGACCATTTATTCCTCACAAAACCTGGAGACCTCAGTTTGAACGAGCGCAATTCATTCCTTTCTGTCAGCTGATCATGGCTGTTCTTTCATCCATAAGGGCTTATTGCCTGACAACAGGTTGCTTTCTGCTGTTGAGCCATTCAACTGTTCCAATAAAGTCTTAACATCTCCACTCTAAAATATTTAATATGATCTAACCAATTTTATATAGCTACCATTTGTTGATAATATTAAGCTGTTGACAAATTACTTTTCTTATTTTGCTTCACAACTAACTGTTGCATAACCTGAGACCTTTCCATTTAAAAAAGAATATTGTTTGACTTAAATATATATATATATATATATATTACATATTTACATACATATACTGTATATGCTGGAAATGTTGTTCTTTGTAAGAAAAAAGCAAAGATGGACAAAGTTTCAGGTTCAATAAATCTCACTTTCACATGTTTGGAATGTTGCACTCACAATTTCTTTTGCTGTGGCTTCAAGAAACACAGACTCGTCTCTAATTTGTATGTAGGTGTGTGTCCTTTAGCTTGGCGCATGCATGTCTCATCCTAGCACTCACAAAATTATAAAGAGTAAAACATTGTCTTTCACTTTATTGCTATAGCCTTCAAAATATCCACACATGCATGTGCACATACTGTACTTCACTTTATTTGGTTTCAAATTAATGCACACAAATACAAGATTTCATCTTTGATTTACTACAAGTATATGTAAATATTAAAGGGTTAGTTTACCCGAAAATTATGTCAATGACTCACCCTCATGTCATTCCAAGCCCGTAAGACCTCCGTTCATCTTTGGAACACAGTTTAAGATATTTTAGATTAAGTCTGAGGGCTTTCTGTCCCTCCTTTGAAAATCTATGTACGGTATACTGTCCAGAGATGTATAAAGTACTAGAAACCTGGACTTGAGTAAAAGTACAAGTGCTCTATCAAAAAAGTGACTTGAGTAGAAGTTGAAGTGTTCTTTAAGAAGAAGTACTAAAGTATTCAACATTTTTTGTACTTAAGTAATGCAAGTAGTTTATTTTAAAATTCACTACTTAAGTACTAAATTTAAGTAAAAGTACAAGTATTGTGTCATGCAATTATTAAAGAAAGCAGTCAAAAGTTTGAACTAGTAATCAAATAAGGCGCTTTGGCGGGCGCCAAAAAAATGTCATTGCAGGACAACCCCTGCATTAGTTGTCAATGTGTGCGTCAATCAATACCATTACCCTATAAAACTGGCGTGTGATTTAGGCAGCATGAAAGCCAACTTGCAACGAATGATTCGTAATTTTTTTATAATTGCAACGAGTAACTAGCAGAACATTAAAAAATATCGACTGAAGTAAAAGTATGAGGAAAAAAACAATACTCTAGTAGAGTACAGATACAGCCTTTTAGTACTTAAGTACAGTTACTATACATCTCTGGTACTGTCCTTGTCCAGAAAGGAAATAAAGACAAAGCAGTCCATGTGACATCAGTGGGTTAGTTAGAATGTTTTGAAGCATCGAAAATACATTTTGGTCCAAAAATAACAAAAACTACGACTTTATTCAGCATTGTATTCTCTTCCGGTTCTGTTGTCAATCTGCGTTCAATGACACTGGTGACGTAAGATGCTGCTGACGTGTTATCTGGTGCACCTGAGCGAGACGCATGCTGTAAACAAAACAATCTTTGCAAATATGTCTATGAATTTCGACATAGAGGAAGACTTGGATTTTTTCGACAACAGAACCAGAAGACAATGCTGAATAAAGAAGTTTTGTTATTTTTGGAGCAAAATTTATTTTCGATGCTTCAAAACAGTCTAACTAACCCACTGATGTCACATGGACTACTTTGATGTCTTTATTTCCTTTCTGGACAAGGACAGTATACCGTACATACATTTTCCATTGAGGGACAGAAAGCTCTCGGAATAAATATCTTAAACTGTGTTCCGAAGATGAACGGAGGTCTTACGGGCTTGGAGTGACATGAGGGTGAGTCATAAGTGACATAATTTTCATTTTTGGGTGAACTAACCCTTTAATTGCTTCTGCACACTTTAACAGTCACGAAAAGCTCAAAACAGCAGAAGATGTTAATCCAAACCTTGTCCCTTTTATATTGATGTAAATAACCTCAATCCTCAACATTGTGATTGAAGAAGCTAGCTACTCGCACAGCAACTACTAGCTGGCCTCCGTTACATATATTTATTTATATTTGTAAGCATTTAAAAGTTTACAGTAAGATTTTTTGGTGACACTCAATAAAGTCCCCTCCCTTAATTTAATTGTTAATGTTTCTGACATTAACAATGAGACATACAATTAAACGTATTTATTAATATCTGATAAGGTATAGTTAATACAAATAAAACTGTTCATTCTTTGTTAGGCTAATATGGACCTGAGCTAACATGAACTGATGCAACTTTTGATTTAATTTAATGATTAACATAAATGCTTAGTGCTTTTCATTGATGTTAATGTTAAACAAATGGAACCTTATTGTAAAGTGTCTTTGAAAACATTGCAAGATTTATTTGATCTAAAGTAGGCCTACAGTAACAGTAGGCTACTGTTGCAAACAATTATTACAATAACAGTTTTGTGTTTTAAAATATTTATTTCTGTGATAGTAGCTCAAGTTAAATTTTTAGCAGTCATTACTCCAAACTTTACAGCAACGTGATCCTTCAGTTCAGAATTTTATTTATTTATTTATTTTTTTTTAGAGTTTTTGAAGTTCAAAAGAACAGCATTAACACCATACTTACTAAATAAAAATAGTAATTTCTTTCAAAAAATCTTACTGACCCCAAACTTTAAAAGGATTTCAGTGAGAGCACTGCCCGACAGACAGAAAGAAAGGAGTTTATGACTACCGTGTGTGGATGAAGCTGAAAGCTGTGCTGAGTAGTTTGTTTGTGATTCACTGGCGCCCCCTGTCATCGACATGTTACACAATATCCCTTTCAATTCCTCAATCTTGCCTTGTCCTTTAATGAAGTAAGCAAAATAGTTGGATTTTCAAAACAATTGGATTTTCTAATTTTGAATGGCCTTTTTTTGTGAAAGTGCAATTTTCACCACATGTCGTCAGCTGAAAGGCAAATGTAGTGTCTAAGCTAAACCTTCAGGGGTGCTTCTCGTTTCTTAATTGTGCATCCTCGTTTCCTTTCCTTGCGTCTTAACGCCACCTGCGTCTATCATCCTCGCTCGTGACCCCACAGAAAGCAAACTAGCTTCTTCTCCTCCTCGCGGTGACAATAGAGATGCCCTTCGAGATGTCTGAATTCGATTGGTCTAGGGATGGATGACAGAGGAGCGAGGAAGCATCAGTAGAATTGAGAAGCACCCTAAAAAGCCCACTTTCGAGATCTTTTCATGCAGAGTTGAACTGAAACTGCAATCAAACACTACTGTACAAGCTATTCAAGATATTCAGGATCACTATAAAATTACAGGGAGGTGAGTTGAATCATGGTGAGTGAGCTAAATTGCAGGAATGTGGGCCAGAGTTACCCAGCCCTTGTCTAATGAGTAGTGACAGCACTAGAGGGCGCCATTTCTTCAGTGATATCATAACGCATTTGATGTTCAGAAAGTCTGTGTATAACGGTTAGAAAGATGAATTTAACTGAAACCTTTTAACAGACAAGGTGTGACAGAAATTACTGACCGTGTGTGTGCAGACTACTGGTGTGTACAGGTTTCATTGTGGGGAGATAAACCTGAGATGACATTGCAGGGAACAGCCAGCCTACGAGGGAAATGGCTTAATAATAAACAAACTAAATTGTTCTTTTTTAATGTAAAAATGCAGCTTTTTTTCTTTAAGGAATAGAACAGTTTGTACAGTATAAAAACCATTACATCACACATTACTCACTTTTTTTTTTTACATTTCTCTTTATAAAAAAAGCTTCTAAATCAAATGTCATATTTTTATGTAATGAAGGTATTCCCAAACATTTTTTTGTCAGCCAAACCTCTTTGACCTAATACTTTAAATAATTAATTACATAATTGAACAACACAAAAAACAATATTATTAATATCCAACACATTTGGATATTAATGGTTTTCTGATTAATGGTCACATGACAGTTAAACAAATAAAGTAAAAAGACTCTTGCTGCTCAAAAGTAATTTGAGCAGCAAAAGCTGTAGCCTCTTATTTTACATGGATCAGGTCCCCTTATGGGGGCTGCCATGTTGAGGTCACATGACCAGATGAAAACTGCTCATATTTTGAGGTGTGTGATCATAGCTTTAACATTTTGATGATTTAATGAATTGTTAACTTTTCATGAGCTCACTACCTTTCTTGCAGTTTTTATGTATTTATTTATTTATTTACTTTTACTTTTTTTTTTTTTTTTTACAAACTATAGTCTGCAAACCCTAACGTAATATAATGTGTAATGTCCTTCATGGAAAAAAATAATAATATTTGTTTAGCGTTGTATTTTTTTTATATCGATAATGAAAGCAAGTTCGGTCAAAAATTATAAAATTTTCATCATGCAATCTGTAACTGACGACATGCAAGTAATCTACCCATCATATGAAACACACACATTTATATATACAGTAAATAGTTGTTTCAATCAGACCCATTACCAAAGGTGTATAAAATCAAGCACCCATGGAGTCTGCATTTACAGACATTTGTGGGAAAAATTGGATGTTCTGAAGAGCTCAGTGAATTCAAGCATAGTACTGTGATAGGATGCCACCTTTGCAATAAGTTTGTTAAATTTAATCCCGGTTAGATATTCCACCGTTAACTGTTTGGTGTATAATTGGAAAGTGGAAGTGTTTAGGAACAGCAGTAACTCAGCCATGAAGTGGAGGACCACGTTAAAGGTGCAATGTGTAACAAAGTTGAGTATCTATTAACAGAAATGCAATATGACATCCATAACTATGTTTTCAGTGGTGTATAAAGAACTTACTTAATTAACCGTAATGTTTTTATTACCTTAGAATGAGACATTCATAGCTCCATAACCGCGGGAATCCCCTTCTATGAAGGTCGCCATGTTGTGACGTCATATTCCTACCGTAGCCGAACGCGAACACACAGCGCTGCAGAACGCGTTTCATCACTACCTTGAAAGAGAAGTAGCGGAAAGCTGGAAGCTAGCCTTACACTCCGTGACTTTTCCCTTGTGAGTGGTGTAAAATATGTAGTTGGGATTGTTTCATGTAACTTAGTTCTCCCTCGCTGTGTTATGGGTTTGTTATGTTGGGGATAGTGCTGTTACGTTCGTGAGACAGCTGATGATTAGTATTCATGTCATTGACCGTAAAACAGTACGTTACAGGAATCACTAACCCGTCGATAGAGACTTTTACTAAAGTCTTTTATCACTAAAGTCGATCGCGAAG